GAGTTTGAGGGGTTGTTCGTCGCTGGCGCGAGCGGGTGCGCGGCGGGTGCGAAGTGGCTATGAGTGTGGTGGTTCGCACCAGAACGGCCCGTGACAAAGCCCCCAACCGCTGCGCCGCCGCAGGGCCCTGGTGGAGGTGCAGCCGCTGCTGCTGGACGTGGTGCGCGGCGCGGCCGACGCCCCGGCGAGCAGCAGCAGCAGCGACGGCAGCGGGTCGGACGAAGAAGGCGACAAGGACCGGGGGCCGGAGCCTGTGGTCGCGGCGACGGCGGCGGTGGGGCTGGACGGCGCCTTGAACCCTGCGGCAGCATCAGATGCAGCAGGGGCAGCGGGTGCGGGCGGCCTCGCGGGGCCGGGTGAGCCTGGGGCCGCGCAGCACGTGGGGCAGGCCCACATCACCCGCTCGCCGTCCGGCGCCTGTGCGCGCGCGCTGGTGGAGGTCGCCGCAGCCGCCATGGGCGCCGCCGCCGGCCCTGACCTGCCGGCCCTCGCGGCGGCCGTCGCGCAGCGGCTCGCGGCGGCGGGGGTCGCGGCGCCGGGCGGCGCAGGGGGGTGGGCCAGCGTGCGGTGCTGGTGCGCGGCGGGCGCAGTCGGCGCGGCGGAGTGGGGCGCGGAGCTACAGCGCGCGTTGGATGCGCTCGGCGGGCCCGCGGCGGGCAGCGGCCTGGTGCAGAGCGTCCCCGTCAGCGGCTTGTGGGGCAGTGACTGGGGCAGCGGTGACGCCGGGGCCGAGTGCTGCGTGGTAGTCGAGGCTCTTGCGTGCGGCTAGGCCAGTCATGTGCCTACTGCTGGGGAGGCTGGGTGGCTGGCGACCGCTGTACTGCGCGCAGATCCGGACCACATGCCTTCCTTGCTCAGGAGGCCTCTGGCTGGGTGGCTGGCGACTGCTGTAACGCGCTCACATCTGGACCACATGCCTTCCTTGCCTGTGCTGTTTGCAGCACCACGCAGCTCATCTGCTTGGCCTCAACGCCAGGCTGATATTACGCGGCGCTGGCCCTGGCCCTGGCCTGCAGCAGCAGCAGCTGAAGCCCACTTCAGTCAAAAACGGCAATCCGAGGCTAGTCCCGCTCTACTCGTCCTGTTGTACGGCCCGCTGCCCTTGTGCTCCCTTGCACGACTGACGCTGACAGCACTGGCGATTGGCAACAGCGGTGCCCCTGTGGCCCGCACGCCTTCCATTGAATCACACAGACAGCTGCAGCGCCTATGTGACGACAAAAGCAGCAGTGGCTTTAGGAAGCAGCGGTGATTTACATCCTCTCGCTGACTGTACAGAATCCTGCTGAATCGTGTTTGTAATAAGGAACCAGAGTTGGGAAAGCAATGGGGGTAAACGGGGGCAGCTGCAACACATACGGGGCCGCAATTGCAACCTCAAGCGGAGCGCCGCCGCCCAGCGAAGGCGGGCAACAGGTTGTGTGGGCACGCGCTTGCTGTCCGCCAGGGGACAAAGAGCTCCGCGCCGCCTCGGGGCGCCGCGCAGCCAATTAAGCAAGACCGGACGATCGCCAGACGAGACACGCGCAACGAAACACGGCCGCATGGGGCCCCGACGCGGCGCCGCTCGCCCGCGCGCCTGCCGCCGCCCCGTCGCGCGGGACTGGCCGTGAACAAAAGGCGGGCCCGCCTACTCGCTGCGGCCGGCGTAGGACACAAAGTTCTTCTCGCGGCAGTCGATGCCCACCATGGGCTCCCCCAGGTCCGACGACACCTCAGCCAGCACCTTGGGGTTGTTGTAGTGCGTCACCGCCTGCACGATCGCGCGCGCGCGCTTGGCGGGGTCCCCGCTCTTGAAGATGCCGCTGCCGACAAACACGCCGTCCACGCCGAGCTGCATCATGAGCGCCGCGTCCGCGGGCGTCGCGACGCCGCCGGCGGCGAAGTTCACGACGGGCAGGCGGCCGAGGTGCTTGGTCTGGCGCACGAGCTCGACTGGGGCGCGGATCTCCTTGGCGTAGACGTACAGCTCGTCGTCGTCCATGGTCTGCAGCTGCCGGATCGCGCCCATGACGGCGCGCGTGTGGCGGACGGCCTCCACCACGTTGCCCGTGCCGGCCTCGCCCTTGGTGCGGATCATGGCGGCGCCCTCGGCGACGCGGCGGAGGGCCTCGCCGAGGTCGCGGCAGCCGCAGACGAAGGGCACCTTGAAGTTGTGCTTGTTGATGTGGTGCACCTCGTCGGCGGGGGGGAGGACCTT